ATGATCTCCTCACTTGGTTGTTTGATATAATGTTGTCAGGTCTATTCTACCAGCCGGTAGCCTGTTCTGCTTCACTCGCCAATGTGTCGTAGAAGTGTCTTTTGTCTTCCCGCACACTCTTCTTCACTTCTTTGTTCAGTGTTTTATACTGTACTGTACTTATACTGTACTCAGTTCCTTTTTTCGTTGTGCATCCTTGCACTGGTTCATCTTCTGCTTCACCATCCTCCTCTCCCTGCTCTATCAGCTTCCATGTATCCATCAAGATCCATTCCTTATCTTCTTTCTTCTTCCTTCCTAATACGGTTATGCAGGTTTCCTTCCACATAGCTTTCAAAGACTTCCAGTGCTCATCCACACAGGTTTCCACAGGGATGTTGTTCAATGTCTCGCATTTTGTCTTGATGGCTGCAGTGAAGATTTCCTTTGTAGTTTCGTCCTTCAGTTTCTGCTCTAGGTGTTCAAATTGAACTGTGGTCTATCACCAACTTCCTTGAAGGCTTTCAGTTTGATTTTCAGGGTAGGTTCCTTGCACTAAATAGTGGTCTGAGCCTACATCTGCTCCTCTTCTTGACCTAGTGTCAAGTAGGCTACGTCTCCACTTTCTTCACATTGAGATGAAGTCGATCTGATTTGTAGTATGTCCTTGTGGTGAAGTCCATGTCGCTTTGTGAATGTTCTTGGGTTTGTACACACTGCCGCCAATCACCAAGTCGTTCAATGCAAACAGTTCCGCATTCTCGTTCATCATTTCATCGAGTGCTTCTGCAACCATGATGAGTTCTTTTCCTGTGTTGTCCGCTCCCAGTTTGGAGTTCATGTCGCCTATTAGAATTTTGATGTTCTTGGAGACATCATGATAGCCATTCTGAAACTCAGTGTGCTCGTAGTCGACTAGTTATATCGACAGAAGTATGCCTGCTTTGAAGAGATTATATGTTACAAATCAGAATGTACTCAGTCAATTTACAAAATGAACAGCAACTGCCCGATGAGCATCATGAATAAACTAACTAAGCAAGAGTCTTACTGGAAAAAAAACCCAGCTAAAACTACTAAATTCTTAAGTCATTTTCCGCCAAACTAAGAGATACAACTCTGCCGGTTTAGAATGTTATCGATTACTTTCAGAGACTGCTTATAGCCGATAATTAATTATAAAACAAATGTGATTCCTACGAGCATGCTATGCGCTAGTCTTTTTCAATGTACCTCAATTTCGGCTAGTTAGGAGGTCAGCTAAATAAGTTGAACTGTAAATAGAATCACTTCCTTTTCTCGACCTTGTGTAACGATGTAGATATTGTGTAGGCTCATAGAATATTAGTTCAGTGGAAGAACTTCATCAGGTTTAAATTAAATCTGTATAACTATGTGGTCTCAGACGATGTTTATTACTATTTGACACGCTTTCCTTAGACGAGAACCTAACCTTAACATTTGAGCTATGTTCACAAGCGAATTTCCTGAATAAGCAATCGATAAAAGCAGAAAAAAAGTAAGTAGGAATAATAATCGATGAAGTTAGAAGTAGTCGACTCAATATGAGGTATTTCTCTTTTATTAGTATCCCATAACCTGAAATAAGCAATGCTACTTTAAGCACAGTCTCTTATTTTTATCAGGTGATGCGATATTTAACTTTATCAATGGGGGTGTTGTGTTTCATCTTCATAGAGTTTAGACTTGTCTGTGTAAAATGCACTATGCTGGCCATATGGACTGTTAATTGATAAAAAGCTACTAAATATCATAGGGTAACAAAAGATGAAAAATATCGCTGATTTATACTATTCTAAATTAATATTGCAGTTATGTTTACGGAAATGTACTATTAAGGTAATCATGCTTAAAAATTTAAACATTTAAAAAGTTCCCTGAACTGAAAACGTTGTCCATTCTGCTTAAACTTGGTTGGGAATTGAATATATACTACTTTCAAGTTGTTATTCATCGTAGACTGATATCAAATGAAGGAACAATGGACACCTGGGAGCACTGGACAGCTGTAACATGCTCGCCATGGAACCTGAAGGTAGAGTTTTCGATCCCTGGTGGGGTCGTGGGTGCACACTGCTGAGGAGTCCCATACTAGGACGAAACAGATGTCCAGTGCTCACAGGTTTCCCTTGTTCCTACAGCTGATGTCAGTCTACGATGAATAAAAACTTGAAATATTTCCAAATCCCCACAACTCCCTCAAAATTCAATATACTACTTTATCGAAAACGAAAATATAATAGATTATTTGCAGCCTCAATAAATCAACTGTGGTATTCAGCAAGCTACACTGACCACAGTTGGTGTGGCTGGTATGTTTACTTACTGTAATGAACCACCTAAGTTAAACTGACTGGAAGTTTATTCCACGAGATACTAGCATACCAAGAAGGTCAAATGAACAATAGTGAGATTGATTACATCTCTGTATTAAACAATCAAAATATTATTATATCGTGAGTTGAGTACAGAGGGTGACGGGATTAGGATATTTCCTAATGATAACTAGAATTCTGAGTTAATGATGCTCTCCTTTTGTCGAAGAGTACAAGACAAAGTTGACTGTAAAAGTTGCATACGCTCCTCTTGTCCCATAAATTTCCTCTGCCAACAGTAAGAGCTTTCAACATACGGATGTAGAACAAGAAATCTTAAAGTTTCTATAACCATAAGTATTTCCAACTTTAAGAAGGCACTACTTGAACACAGCAAACTGGATAATAATATCCTTAGTAATACAGTTTTCTTTACAGTTATATCAAGTACAAGTAATTTTGATGCTGCGGACAGCTGGAACGTATCAATTACTGTCGTTCCCAATTCCTTTAAAAGTTACAGTTCTTTGCCTTCTAAATTTCCTTCACATTTCTTCCCTAACAATTCCACATCATTCAACTTGGTGGATTAATTGATTCCAAGTTGGTATCACGGAGTGACATCAGCTGGAGAACAATCGAAAACCTCGAAGCATTAGAAAGCTATATCGTCTTAGTATGCGACTCCACAACATCATCATTTCTGACTCCCTTTAACTCTTCAGTATCTAATGAAAATTCAATTTCACTACAAACAGTAGCTGGTTTCATGAAGGTAAACTCAAAGACTCATGTGTTATACATACTAAATCAGCATGTATCTCAACACGTAATATTAGCTGAAAGCTAATAAATGACCAAGAAGAGGCATTACACCAATCCATTCAGACACTGACTACTAAACCGAGATATGTTGAAGAATTTAGTCTTCTAAGCTGTCTACGAGGGAACAGTAACACATCGCTAAGGACCTGTGTTATCATGGCTGAAAATCAATTACAGTAACAAGGATGTATCGTTATACCGCGCTTTAAAATCAGCTTTATCCTCTCTCCTTTTTGTTTTTTAAGTGCCTACAACTTTTGAATTCTAACAGGGGATCTAAAATAGCAAACTCGAGGAGAACAGGCAGATTTCAGACCTCGACGAGAGTCCATTGATATCATTTTTACCCCCCACCCCAACAGGTATACCTGCCAGCGGCCGACACTTGTCATATTTCTTGACTTTAGGACGGCAATTGACTAGGTCGACCGTGAGATGTTGTGGCAATATCTGACTGTGAAGGGAGTACCGAGCAAGTGATATCACACTTATCAAAGCTGTCTGCTAGAACTCATGCAGCCTTGTAAGGCCTTAAGTACAAATCTCATGTGAATTGACGACAACTAGTGATGTTCGCCAGGGATGTCTACTGTCATCGTCATTATTTAACTTCGTAGCAGACGTACCAATGGAAATAACCTTAGGTGCCTGTGACTGCACAGGGACCGATCTACCCTCTGAAGGTTATCCGGCTGATTTGGAGTATGCAGATGATATTGTTCTACTAGGTGAAGAAGTTGGAAAACTGTAGCGTCTTCTGAACACCTTGAGTGGAAATCTGAATATTTTTTGGATGGGAAGCGTTTTACACATCAAATGCAAGATGATGCTACAGGACTAATCCATAACCACTCGAATACAGGCCTATTTGGCATATGCCAACTTGCAACATCTCTGGTCCCGAATGGCGAGATATTCAACTATCTACCAATCAAAGGACGAGTGTACTGTGATGCAGTCCGTTCTGTTCTGTTGTACGGCTGTGAGAGATGGCAGTCAGAAGTAGAAGACACGAAGCGGTTGTAGGGTTTCAATCAAAGGTGTCTTCGAAGCACTGCTCGCGCGTGTTAGAATCACCGTGTGAACAAAGTTGAGGTCAGGTGAATGGTACTAGGCAAGACAGAAAAGTCGACTAAGATGGCTTAGATATGTACTGCGCATGTCGAGTGAGCCACTGTCTACCTCAACGTTTCATGTAAAGAAAAGCTGAATAAGATTGGAAAAGGGTTCAGGGTGGTCAACTCAAGATGTGATACCAGTCGATGAAGTCTCTCGCTTTAGGTCTGAGTTGTGTGGGTAGGTGTAGACTGAATAATTGGAGTCTCCGAGACGATAGGAATCAGTAGTTGAGGACTCTTGGTGACATAGTTGAAAACTGGTCACAATGGCGCAGATTGTATTCACTACTTGACATCTCCTAAAGCCTGAATATTCGCACTGACTTTTATCTTCAGGTTGCTTCTTCTCTCACAATACTTTATCTTCTTTGATATTACTCTTTTTCTATCCTCCTGTTCTTTGTATACTACTATGAAGTGTGGTGACCTGAACCGCTGCACTTCTGTGCAACGTTCCACATCGATTTTGTCTGGATACGAAATTCCATGCAGACCCAGCATGAACACATAAAATATTATCTAACAAACTAAAGTTATTCTCTCTGTAATAAAAACTAAAATATTCCATTTTTTTAAACAAAATTAAAACAACAAAAGTCTTAATCCATAATATGCAATTATACAGAGTATCGTTAAAGAGAACAAAAGTAATTAGAATATGACATAAAAAGTGCATGTATATCACTGGTAATTTATTTTTTTTTAAAAATAATCAAATTTAATTAAATTTTTATCCTATTAATTATTTTTTAGATTCAGGGAATGGAAAAGGCAATGATCCACCTTCTACATATATCGCTTTCAGTTGACTATAAGCCATTAATGTATCAACAGAATTCTCTCGACCAAATCCAGATAATTTATAACCACCAAATGGAATACCTGGTGGATAAACATTATAACTATTGACATAAACAGAACCACATTGTAATTTTGAGGCTATACGATGTGCAGTGGTTAAATTTTGTGTGAATACACCACCAGCTAGACCAAATTCACTGAAATTTTAAAAGATTATAATGAATTTTAAAAAAAAATTTAACTGCCACAGATATGATAAATGAAAAAGTTTGTCTACTTGTGTTTACCATCACTTGTCATATACACAAAAATTCAAATAGAATTGTGTTTTTTTAAAAAAGAATAACATTCTACTACGGTTTCCGTATAGTAATATAATAAAGTAATACGACTAACTGACTGTAACGAAGTAGGACTCGGTGAAATATTCCAATAGGTTCTACTTACCAAAGTTAATAAAGTAACTAACGCATGGAAGGCCAGCCAATTAACTTAATCATGATGATACACTTATTAAATTAGAATAAAATTGTACAAGAGATTCACATGTTTCCATAACACAAGTATTCATATATTGAGTAGTCACCGAAGAGCGGCAAATTTCATATTGTCCAGTCCCAGACACTGAACGAATTTTATCGATGATTTAACATTAACACCATTAAGCTCGAGGGATCAAAATGGCGGTATGCTTCAACTTCAATTTCAGTTGATTAGACGGAATTGGCGATAAGTCCAAGAACAAGGTTTCGCATTTACTTGGAAGATCGAAAGAACTAGGTCAGCAACCAGGAGTAGGCAAAATGAAATTGATTCCTCTTCAGTGACCAATCACTGTAAGAAATCCAGTCCCACAGGAAGTTCATCGCATCGCAAATAGTTCAGTGATAATGTCAATGACTGTAACACTGGCTGACACGGGGTTTGAATCTCAGCAGAGAAATCGGTTTTCTCGAGGTTGCAAATACGTTTTACTGACGTGTGCCAGTAAGTGCGAATGACTTCAAACATATGCACATCTGTGGATTAGACAATGAGTCACATCTTATATATGGAGGATTATGATACTACCTGAGTGGTGAAGTGGAGTTCGAAGTCATGAATATTTAGTTGGAAGTAGAGTGCCAATGCTGAAACTTGTCTATTGAGAATTTCCTACATCATGTAAGACGGGTAAATCCAACTGAATAAAGGAAGCAAACGTATATCTAATTATTGAAATCATATGGCTAAATCCTTAGAGTACATAAAATACGCTTTTATCCACTGAATCGAACTCAGTAAGGCCATGGTTTCAGCGAACAACTAATCACCCGCATCAGGCAGATAGACCAAAGTAGAACGCCATAAAAACGTGTTTCAGTTCAGTTTGTGAAACTTTGCAATAACACAAAGAGAGGAAATAGTCATACACCGAAAAAGAGAATAAACTAAACAAGAATGGTGTTCAAGAAACAAATGAATGAAGACTCATGAGGTGTTTAGTGTATCGAGTGGAAAAAAGCTGCCTCACTGGGATCAACTTGATGGATGTCATCCAGAGTCAATGATCCCTACGCCTTCTCAAGAAATGTTATGAAACAGTCCAAACATCTCTATAGAACACAAATCGAGTGTCAGTGATGCATCAGATCAGTATGTGACAAGATATGATCACGTTTTTCTCTTTTCCAACTACGATTTCAACTTAATCAATAATCGAAAAACTGAAAAGAAAAGTGACCTAAATAAACTTAGGTTGAGTTGCGATCATCAATATAAATGAGATATCTTTAAAAATCAAAAGATCAAGTAATTAATTTGATATAACGGAAACATACAGTAAAACGAAGGCAAAAACGTTAGCTACAACAAAAGTGGACCCAGCTCTTCTCTACAGAAACGAATACCGTCACTGAATACAGAATGCAACATATGATATCAAGTAATGAAAAAAGGCGTTATCAACTTGACACATAAGAATAACTAGATGTTACTGATTTATGTACTGAAGTTTCCAAAATTTCGCCAACTGATTGATATCAGTCCATGATGAAAACCAATCTAAAATCAATAAATAAATCCCTACAAGCCTCTAAACTGAATTACTGATATTTAAGTATGCTAAAAATTCCCATTGTCAAAATTAGAAGATATATAAGCGGTCAATGTTGCTTTTGAAGTAGTATTCATCATGGACTGACATCAGTTGGGGAACCATTAAAAACTCGGGAGCACCAGACACCTAATTCGTCCTAGTTACGGACTCTTCAGAAGTACACACCCACGACTGGGCTAGCGACCGAACTCAATACCTTCAGTTTTCACGGCGAACGCGTTAACCGTCCAGCCACTGGCTCTGTTTCCAGTGGTTCACAGTTTTCCAACTTTTGTCAATTCACGACATAGCGTGACTACCACGCAATGTCTTCAATAAGCATCCGCTTCACTTACGACTGGTTGACCCCACCTTAAGAAGCTCTAATGGGAAGTCGTGACCTGTGGGGTCAACCAGTCGTAAGTGAAGCGGATGCTTATTGAAGACATTGCGTGGTAGTCACGCTATGTCGTGAATTGACAAAAGTTGGAAAACTGTGAACCACTGGAAACAGAGCCAGTGGCTGGACGGTTAACGCGTTCGCCGTGAAAACTGAAGGTATTGAGTTCGGTCGCTAGCCCAGTCGTGGGTGCGTACTTCTGAAGAGTCCGTAACTAGGACGAATTAGGTGTCTGGTGCTCCCGAGTTTTTAATGGTTCTCCAACTGATGTCAGTCCATGATGAATACTACTTCGAAATTAAAAATCCCCGTTCATATAAAAAATACAATGTTGTTTTCAATTAGCTCTCATCAGGCATTACACTAATATACATAAATATTTTCATATATAAAACATTTAACCAATCATGGAGTATTTAGTTTGTGGTAATAGATATCTAGACGATAATAATAATCATATAAATGATGACAAGAATAATGGGAACAGCATTTAAACATATAATGTCTATCGAAACTTAGAAAAATAAAAGTTACATAACAAACATGTGTCAAAGGGGTGAAGCGGAAGAGGATGAAAATTGAATTTAACTTCGAAGTTAATTATTAACTTTTCTCTGACCAAGGCAAACACAAAGGCTGCACAGACGTTTGCCGCAAACAAAGACTAGGTTTATTAATGATGGATAGTGGCTAGTGAATGTAATTGCTCCCAGAGAATGTTGTCCCCAGCGGGACTCGGACTTAGGGACAACCGCTCCAAACGCCAGAGCATTATCCGCTATACCACCCAGTCACGATAGCGACTTCTTGCGCGATGGATATAGTTTTAGTGTTATTGCTTGTATGAGTGAACCAAACGGATCGGCCTCCATTGGCATATGGGCTCCCAACCGGATGCCTCGATATTGCCTTTGTTTTAATTCTACATATTATTGATGGATAGTAGATAGTAGGGGAATCCAGGGCGTGCGCTTCATCCCATTCGGGACTCGTCAGCTGAATGTGTCATCATTACTATATATATATATTTAAAAAAAAGCAATACTGAGGCATCCGAACAAGAGCCTATATGCCAACAGAGACCGGTCAATTCGGTGCCATAAACGACAGCATGATACAAGCAATAACACTAAAGACTAGGTTTGTTTCCTTGAATTCTCATAGCTTCAGTTATGCGTAAAATTCAAGTGAGAATTTTATTCGAAAGATCTTGTGGAATGCGATAGATGATTTTGAACCCTATGGTCTTATCTATTACATGACCACTATCGTCTAAATGTGACACAATTGAACTTCGTATTGACTTAAATTGCCTCTTTCCTAGCCGTGACGTAAATGCTCAGCAACACGTTTGTTAAGCTATCAAGTTGTACGCTCACAGGAGCGAGTAAATGTACATAGAAAAGGCAGAACTGGGCGGCCTGTCTTTTGTTTCAGCAACAATTAACGGCAGACTACATATCGACTATTGGTATGCTTCATTTCCTACTTACCACAGAATAACTAATACAACGTGATTGGTTTAATGCTTTATATATGAGAAAATTTATGTATATTAGCATAAAGCCTGATGTCTTCATTGATATTTGCTTAATATCATAGTTTACTGCTTAAAAGAGACGCTAAAGCATCTCAACTGAAATCAAGAAAACAGAATAATCATAAAGACTACACAACCAGTTCAAGTGTTATGTATCTGGTTAACAACTGATTAAAAAATGCAACAAGGATTGCTCACTACTCACATCTGCATGCTTCACGAGGCGCGTTACCGAATACTCTAGTGCTCAGCTGCGGAACAGTCAAGACAGAACAGTTATGGCATACTTCCATTTCAGCCTGTTTATTAGAAATGTCACACAATGAAACGTCATCATTTACTGAATACCCTTTCTGACACATTCTATTGTCCATTTTCATATCACGTAAATCAACAACTTTGAGACAGTTTATATATTCTCAATGTTACTACTAATAGTAATAATGGTGAAAGGATTGAGAGAGAATTCAATTCCTCTGCTGTGTTACCATACAAGGAATGCACCTGAGAAATATTACGAAGAATTCTCAATAAAGTTTGGATTAGAGTGGATTTTAAACCAACAAACTCACCTAGAAGCAAGCGCTGTACATTAAAAGATCCTATGGATGCAACTAAGTGAAATAATCTGGTTTACCGAATCCCTTGCAATGATTGTGAGTTCAAATACCATAGGTGAAAGTAGTCGATGAGAATAAGGGAGCACAAAAACTTATCTGAATCAAGATTAGTAGATCGTAATAAGATGAGAAATTCAGAAAAGTGTTCAGCTATTATGGTGTGCAAGCAATTACACACAATCACATAGTATAGTAGGTTGAGATAGAGCGACAGTGTTAAAAATTAACTTATTTGGTTGGAGGTAGGGAGAGATTGATAACCGAATCTTTGTTTATCGAATCACCAACAAACGCATGCAATCGAAATGATTCTGTACCTGTTCGAGATATGTGGAAAATTCTACTACCCTTATCATCACAAGGAGGTGGAGAAAATTAGTCTGTGTTAAAGTTGTGGGATTACGTGATATGAATATGAACAAAAATTGTGTCTGAAAGGTTATCCAATAGATGATAGTGTTTTACTGTATGGGATATCTAATAAACAGACTAAAGTGGAATACAATCGACGATAGTGCCGAAGTTTAACTCCTATATTGGTGTGGTCACATTAGTTATTCACTATTCGAGAAACGTCTTGATTTCCAATTCGCTCAGATGAGCCTACCAACAGAGAATACTGTCATAATTCGTCCATAGATTAAATGATAGGTCTTTCCTACGGCTGATTAGTTGGTATGAGAAATATGACCTGATATGAATATGGACAATAAATTGTGTCCGAAATGTCGTCCAGTAAATGCTATTGTTTTGCTGTGCGATATTTCTAATAAACAGACTACAATGGAATTACAATCGACAACAGTGCCCAAGTTTTACTCTTATAGTTATGGCATAGATTTACGAATAACTTTTGACATTTATTAGGAACTTTATTTTAAGACCATTTACTGGGCTATTCTTAAAGTCTATATCCTAATCATTTGTGTACAGATCAAGTGTTGTCAGTTAACGGTGAATATATTGAACAGACAACACATGAAATGACCCTTTTCTGACTTGATCCTAACCATACTTTGTAAAGTCTATTTCATACAAATGTTCTATAATTTGTTTTATGATTAATAATTGTCAAAGAGTTCAAAATCAAAAAAAGGAATACAGTAAGATGGTAAATGACTACGGAAATGATACAAACCTTCTATTTGAACGCTCTATAACCTCTTCTTCTGAATCAAATTGTAACAAAGTGATTACAGGACCAAATATCTCCTCTTTCACAGCTTTCATATTATCATGACAGTTAGTAAGAACACAAGGTGTTATAAAATTTCCATTATTTAAATCACCATTATCAAATTTAAGCATTTCACCACCGATTAATAGGCTAGCCCCTTCAGAAAGAGCTGACTGTATATAATTGTAAACTTTTTCCTTTTGTTCCGAGTTAATTAAAGCACCCATTGCAACACATGGATCAAATGGATCACCAACTAACATTTTCTTAACTGATTCTACAAGCTTTTGTGTAAATAATGTAGCAATAGACCTATAAAATAAAACAAGAAGGGATTTCATCAAATCAATTATTATAATGTTCATAGTCATAAGACATTGGATTTACATAAAGTAACTGTTATACTGTAAACAAGGATTATCCTAATAATATCACAGTTACAATGTTGAACGCTCTGATTCAACGAATTTAACAATGGGTAAATATAGTCTTCTTAGCTTGATCTTTCTATACTGTTGAGAAGCATGACAACTCAAATCAATAATTTTTTTGTATCAGCACCTAAGTTTCTTTGTCTGTTTAGCTAGCTATCACAAATAAAGCGATAAGTACAGAAACCTGATGACTTTCCGTATGATATACCCATTGGTTAAGGAATTACATGACTAGACTAAACTTAATGTCAAGTTAACTTGAAGGGAAGGTCTAAAAGCCTCATATCCATTTTCGAACTCTATATATATATATATCTATAGCTTTACGTGATGATTTGAAGTTATGTTAGTGTAGGCATTGGTTCCAATTTCATTGAATAGCCAAGTGATTTAACTTCATTTATTATTTGAACTTGTTATAATTTGATTTCGCTTCAGTAAAACAATTCACGGACGTATTTAGGTCTAGTAATTATGATCACCTCATCTACATTCGTTAAATCATCCACATGTTAATTTTAAAAACCCAGTGATTTTTTAGTTTACTTTTATGAGATTCATAATCTGAATAACATACCTACAGTACCAAATAAAATAATCATATTATTTTACACAGTTTTTTCCTCTGAAAACTTTTTCTGAGTGTCTGTATTTCGACTTGTTACTGGTTAGATTAGCAAATCAGCAGAGGAAATGAAAGTGGACTTGTGAAGTTTTCTTTATCTGTTTGAATCATGCAGTTTCACATGATGCAGCAGTCAGTATCACATAGTTTAGAATACAGCGTACTATTTCAGAAGACTTGAACTCGGAGGTAAACAGTTCAGTCAGAATATTTATATTTCGATAGCTAAGTATTCCTCCCTTCCTCAACTTTCTACTGGTTGCAACTTACGATAAATTATGATAAGTTTGGTGAACATATATCACAGTTTCATAGGAGACAACAGTTGGATAGTAGTTCCAGATATTCCCATATGCACGATTTCTGGAATAAATGACTGACGAAGGAACGAAACCCATTCGAAGGCGACGTTACTAAATAGAAACGTTTTCAGCTTCATTGTAAAACGAAGATCTGTTAACCTCAGTGACCAAGTACATGCCTTTATCGAAGATAAGTTTCTCGAAATAACTTTTTGTATCGCTTCCCAAAGGAGGTTTCATAGGTTGGAGATCAAGTGGAAAGATCGATGAGCCTGTCCTCATTACAATAAATCGTCTACCGTAAACGAAAGTCCGATTTAAAAAAGATTAGTTTTAATTTGTTCACTTAACAAAATGAAACTTATGGTGATATAATTATCACTTATCAATTTAAAATACATACTTGGTACAATATCTACAAAAAGATGACCTGCTTAACGTCATACAACACCGTGCAACAAAAACATAAGAGGTAGGAAACGAAAAAGAGCAATCTGAAAGTCTGTCCCATAAGACAAGCTCAAAAACGGTTCATTGCATTTATGTTACTGTGCACGGACAAAGGGTGTAAGAAAAATAAAACATGATTACTACTGATTTCAATTTTGGGTCATATCTTATGAAGGCAAAATCCACTGGTTTCTCGTACTCATTTGGATTACTCCCAGGGAATTTTGAGGGATTAATAAGTGATAACACTGTAAAACTAATCTTCATTCCACAACACCATGTCATACACTAACCACTTCTACACGCATATTCCGACCAGTCACAGGATTGGAAAACAGTAAACTGTACAGAAGTCGTTGAAATGTCATTCGTAACACATTTCCAAGTCACCGATGCTGGTATTTACAGAGTATGTCACTCAGCGAGCAACGATGGCCATCACACTTAAACATGTATCACTTAACCTTAGAACGTTTTGAAGGTTCATAAGGATCCGAGAAATCTTTGATAAAGGTAGTGATCAAACTCTGCCAGCTAGGAAAAGTTATTTCACAGGTGTAGAAGAGATCTCCCACCAACAACATCGTTCATGTGACACCTTACAACGAGGCCAATATCACAAAGGCTCCAAAAGTGATCGAAATTGGTGTACCGCCTTGAGTTTATATAATTTAGTGAAAACTTCACCTGTCACACTTTCATCAGCACTTGCACAACTCAGATAAGCGGAAACTTCAACTGCTTCCGAAGGTGACTGAAGGCATAGGCTTTGACCAAACTTGCAAACGTTATTTCCACTTTGTCAGTGAAAAGTAAATATTATGATACCTAAAGTTAATCGTCAATGTTTTCGTCAAATTCTCCAACTTTACAATCAACAATTAGCTTTGAAACATATACCGACTATTTTATCGTTTGACTTACTTATGAACAAATACACGAGCAGCATTTGAACACACTTGTCCTTGACTATAAAAGTTTGCCATCAATGTACCTTTAACAGCTTCATCTAAATCAGCATCTGACATTATAATCAAAGGTGATTTCCCACCGAGTTCAAGAGTACTTGGTATAATTCGTTTGGCAGCAGTTTGAAGAACACAACGACCACCTTCAACACTTCCTACAAAGTGAAATAACTCAATTAACTGAAAAGTTTGTAAACAATGACCAGTGAAGTATTAAAATTATATGTATGAATAATCCTTCATTCGTTATTCGTCAAAAAAATTTGAAGTTTTTTTGTTTAGAAGTGAGGCACTTGAAACATCAGCATAAGCTGGATAGGTACGATGTCAGTCTAGTTTTTTGCATAGGAAATCAAATCAGAACTTCATCGTTAACGTAAATTCATGAAACCAATATCTACACAAGAGAAAAATTGAAAGATGACCTAGAAATAATTAAAATAATTACTCAACCTGTAAACGATACTTTTGAAACTAGCGGATGATTGACTAACGCTTGACCAATTTCAACACCTCCAAGAACAACTTGATACAAATTTTCAGGGCATCCAGCTTGTTTATACAATTCATATAAGCGAACAGCTGTTAATGGAGTTAGGGGAGATGGTTTAAAGATGAATGCATTTCCAGCCGCCAGAGCAGGAACAGATTTCCATACAGACATCTGACTTATATGAAGGGGGAATTCGAAGAAGAAGAAGGAAAGAGGAAACATTAGGCGAATTCACCAGAGTTAATTTTCTTCAACTGAAATCAACAGTATACAATATTCGAAAATAAACAATCTTCACAGATCATCTGATCCTATTTTAAGGTTCATCACTAACATTGTATACTTCTGAACGTATTCAAAATATGAACTCATACTTTTACACTTAGAACTGACATATGTAGTTAATCATGGTGGTGATTGACGAATTTTATTCTCGTCTCCCCGAGGAAAATTAATCATCACACAAACGCTGAAACAGTGTATATCTTGTCCTCCTTCCCTTTATAAGGTGAGAATTGAAGTGAATATCGTAGGTTTACTGTGTTACTTCATCTGCTGAACATTTTAGTGGACATGGAAGCCGAGCGCCATACAGTAAAATGAATAAGATTGATCAGGTTTATGCAAGGTAATAAACTGTTATTAGGTGGAACTTTCTTTGGCTGTAAAAATACGACCACTTCCCCTCCCCGCTCCCCTCAAAAAAGAAAAATAAATTAACGAAATGGACTGATATTCACCTATCTTCAATACCTATTATAGAAGCTAGATCCTACTCCTGCTCATCAAAAGCTGAACTGGACACGATAATAGTGAACCTACCCACACTCACACTGCCATAACGAAGCATGTCAATTTATCATCAGGCTTTATGACATCCTGAGTAAAGAACCAATAAAGAAGTTACAAAGAGCTCGCATTGCTTAAAATTCCTAGCGATTGGTCAAAATTAACACTACTTGGTGAAATTTAGACATAAATGTGTCGTGGTAATAAATCCTAACAAGAGAAATGAATAACTAATGTGACCACACCAACATAGGAGTTAAACTTCGGCACTATCGTCGATTGTAATTCCACTTTAGTCTGTTTATTAGATATCCCATACAGTAAAACACTATCATCTATTGGATAACCTTTCAGACACAATTTATTGTTCATATTCATATCACGTAATCCCACAACTTTAACACAGACTAATTTTCTCCACCTCCTTGTGATGATAAGGGTAGTAGAATTTTCCACATATCTCGAACAGGTACAGAATCATTTCGATTGCATGCGTTTGTTGGTGATTCGATAAACAAAGATTCGGTTATCAATCTCTCCCTACCTCCAACCAAATAAGTTAATTTTTAACACTGTCGCTCTATCTCAACCTACTATACTATGTGATTGTGTGTAATTGCTTGCACACCATAATAGCTGAACACTTTTCTGAATTTCTCATCTTATTACGATCTACTAATCTTGATTCAGATAAGTTTTTGTGCTCCCTTATTCTCATCGACTACTTTCACCTATGGTATTTGAACTCACAATCATTGCAAGGGATTCGGTAAACCAGATTATTTCGCTTAGTTGCATCCATAGGATCTTTTAATGTACAGCGCTTGCTTCTAGGTGAGTTTGTTGGTTTAAACTCCACTCTAATCCAAACTTTATTGAGAATTCTTCGTAATATTTCTCAGGTGCATTCCTTGTATGGTAACACAGCAGAGGAATTGAATTCTCTCTCAATCCTTTCACCATTATTACTATTAGTAGTAACATTGAGAATATATAAACTGTCTCAAAGTTGTTGATTTACGTGATATGAAAATGGACAATAGAATGTGTCAGAAAGGGTATTCAGTAAATGATGACGTTTCATTATGTGACATTTCTAATAAACAGACTAAAATGGGATTATTATGACCATAGTTCTTCCAAAATCTTGAGTTGGCATCCCCTTCACTTCCGACTTCCTACCCCAACAAACATCAAACTACATAGGTATATAATCTTCATTAGTGACATGCTTTGAAGTTCCTATTAGATGCCGTGACTCGTGGGATCAACCATTTGGAAGGGAAGTATGTGCGAAGTGAAGACCTTGTTAGATAGTCATGCTATATGGTGACGTGAGAGAAGTAGGAAAATGTGAACCACTTAACTCCAACCCAGTGGCTGAATGGTTTACTCTTTCTCACTGAAACCTAAAAGTCCTAAGTTTGATCCCTAGCCACGTCGCAGGTGCGTACTGCTGAAGAATCTTATGCTAGAACAAAGCAGCTGTCCACTGCTCCTGGGTTTTCAACGGTTTTTCAACTACTGACAAACCATGATGAATACTACTTTCAAAATGAAATCCCCACTAACATGAAAACACTTTGTTTTACTTCTTTTCTTCCCAGGAAGTCAATTAATCATGCTACAAGAGGTTTGAAACAAAGTGTTGACAGCTCTTACGTTTTCATACATTAAGAGGTGAAATTCAGTTAAACTAACCAAGGTCTAGGCAACCAGGTAGTGTCATAAGCCATTACACAATAGGTGTGGCTTATCACTGCCTACTGCACGAATGTGCTCAAAGCTACTAAGAGGTATTCTATTTCAAAATGCATAAACATATTTCAGTTGAGAAATGAGTTGAACAATAAATTAAAAGAATTCCATTACCGATAAAAATTAAATCATAAATTGCTTCAAAATTTATACTGGGTGATGACTGAGGGTGAAATGGAAATTTGGACCGCGGTCGGATTCGAACCAACGACCACCGGGTTTCCTGCCCAACGCTCTACCAACTGAGCTATGAGGTCCGACTGCTGACCAGATTTTTATTTCACTTTATCTCACTTCCAATCAACATCACCCAGCGCAAATACTAGTCTGCCAAACTACGGCTACCTCAAATAGTTAAATGATAATCAATATGATAATCCCCTTCTCTCATTTAGTTAGATTTGGTTTAGGATGAAAAGTCTTGACTAGGCAGCCAGTGTGAAAACAATCAAGCGGTAGTAACGCATCACAAATTCACACAGTATTCAGGCAAAACCCTTAGTGATTGAAGTGAAATAAAAATCTGGTCAGCAGTCGGAACTCACAGCTCAGTTGGTAAGGCATCAGGTCGAAAACCCGGTGGTCGCTGGTTCGAATCAGTCCATGGTCCGAATTTTCATTTCACCTTCAATCATCACCCAGTATAAAGCTGTTTCAAGTTCATTTTCAACAATAACAGACATCTGTTAGACACTAGATTAGTCGAAACAAAACACTTTGAAAAGTTTGTTTACATTGACTCTTGAGCATAGTAGATTATTATTATTATAATAAGATAAAATCAAGTCTGATATAAAAGTGCATAGACTTAAGCAGAAACACACAGCAACAGCTCAGTAAGTATAATTCGATATGAATGGGAAGATGATATATGAAATAGAAAGGATACAAGAGAAGAGGAAAAATAAATGCGGACCAATAAATTGTTCATGGTTTCCTAGATAATAAACAATGAATACATCTACATCACTGTAATTGATTTGAAGTTAAAGCGTAGTGCTCTAAACTAATGTGTAGTGAGTGTATTGTGTATATTCAATGAAAGTTCCTATGAAATAAACACCGAAAGATAGTAATACTTGGCATACAGATCACATGATGAATAATAAACATTCAATCCCACATGTATATGCACTGAGATTTGAAGTACCATTATCCAATAGGAATATTGAGACAGTATCGAGGATTAAACCCCAGTTCAAGTTATTAATAGCCTAAATGGTCATAACTTATCTACTAGCTATTTATCGGCAGGAACCTAAGAGAGGCCAGATGAACGTGTGATATAGATTCATTAAATCTCTATTGGTTTGAACTATGTTATGAAGTCCAGGCTAGCTGATTTGAGCCCCTAATATATAAAGAATTCATAGTTAGAAGCTCCTTAAGATCTCTCTTTCTTTCTACATCCTCTTATTTACTTCAAAATTATTCCCTTTTCATTCACCTCTTCTTAGTGTTCAGAGTGTAATTGTGACAAATAGAATTGATGAGTTGCTTGTGACTTTGGTTATACTACAGAAATTTATCACAGAGGGTAATTCTGTGAAGTTTTGTATCACCTTTTCTACTCCACTGGGACATATTGCGATTTCAAATAATTAGCTTGAACTAATCCAGATTAAGAAAAGTTCGATTTCATATCAGAGCAAAACTTGGACACTGAAGTAGAATGTAACTCCACTTTAATTGATTAATTAGATGTAGGTCATAGCGGATTACGTTTCAGACACAACGTATTGTCCATAATCATATCAAGGTGACTCCACAACTTTGAGACATGGTTTGTGCGTAGTTCTAATCTTCTCACCTCGTTTGTGACATGTCAGTTAAGGACCAGAAAACTTACTGATAAAACCGAAAATCTAATACAGGAGGTCAAGTGCATTAAGAACACCATAATCACCAACAGTTACTGTCCTAAATGATTGATAAGTTCCATAGGAATCGTAAGAAAAATATAACTGAAATTAACTACACAGGTGTCAATAGCAGTAACAATGAGGTTAATAGTACTAGTAGCGATACTGAGATGAGATAATTCAAAACCTCTACAGCATTACCATACAGAGAAGGCACCTCAGAGACATTACGTAGGATTCTCAATAAGGCTGGGATTAGAGTGGCATCCAAACCTACCAACTCACTTAGAAACAAGCTTTGTAGATTAGAAGATCGTACTGATCCAATTAAACAGAATAACTTAGTTTACAAAACCCCCCGCAACGATCGCAAGGTCAAACACATAGGTCAAAGTAGTCGACCGGGGTCAATTAGACTATCCGAGCATAAAAATCTAGTTAGGTCAAGATTGGTAAATTTTAGTAAGGTAAGGAACTTAGAAGAAAGCCCAGCCATAGCTATACATGCAATTGCACACAGTCACACAATAAGATAGGATAGGGTGAAAATTCTTAAAACTAACATAACAGGGTGGAGGGAGAGATTGATAACTGAATCTTTGTTCACGAATCAACACCTAATACATACGACAGGAATGACTCCGCACCAGTTCCGGATATATATGGAAAGTTTCACTACTCACTTTCACAAATTTGGTGAGGACAATATAAAGGATATCTTGAAGTTTTGTAGTTATTTTGATATGACCATGGACAATAAAT